TTCTCTCCAGTGTGGATCCTCTCATGCAGTTTTAAACACTGCGCTGTAGTAAAAGTGTTTTCACACTCAAAGCACATGTACTCTCTCACACCAGTATGTATTTTCTGATGCTCCTTCAAAATTTGTAAACGTGAAAAACTCTTTCCACACAAATGACATGAATGTGGCTTCTCCTTTGTATGAGCTCTCAGGTGTTTCTTCAGGTATGAAGCCCACAAAAATGTTTTGTCACATTGATCACATGTGTACAGTTTCTCTCTAGTGTGAATGTTCACGTGTTCCTTAAGGTTTGATGAGTGAGTAAAGCTCTTTTCACAATGATCACAAGTGAAAGGTTTCTCTCCAGTATTAACTCTCATATGTGTCATAAGGTATTTTTTTAGTGCAAAACTCTTACCGCACTGATCACAAGTGAACGGTTTCTCTCCAGTGTGGATCCTCTCATGTGTTTTCAGGATTCCTGACTGAATGAATCTCTTGTCACAGTGTGAACACTTGTAAGGTTTCTCTCCAGTGTGAATCCTCTGGTGCTGTTTTAAACAGTTTGCTGTAGTAAAAGTCTTTTCACACTCAAAGCACATGTACTCTCTCACAGCAGCATGTATTTTCTGATGTACTTTCAAATATTGTAGACATGAAAATCTTTTTCCACACAAATGACATGAATGTGGCTTCTCCTTTGTATGAACTCTCAGGTGTTTCTTCAGGTATGAAGCCCACAAAAATGTTTTCCCGCACTGATCACATGCGTATAGTTTATCTCTCGTGTGAATGTTCACGTGTTCCTTAAGGTTTGATGAGTGAGTTAAGCTCTTTCCACAATGATCACAAGTGAAAGGTTTCTCTTCAGTATGAACGCTCAGGTGTTTCTTCAGGTCTGAAGCCCTTAAAAATGTTTTCCCGCACTGATCACATGCGTATAGTTTATCTCTCGTGTGGATGTTCATGTGTATCTTATGGGTTGCTAATTGTGCAAAACGTTTCCCGCACTGATCCCAAGTGAACGGTTTCTCACCAGTATGAACTCTCATGTGAACATCAAGGTTTTTTTTTGTTTGTGAAAAACTTTCTGCACTGAGTGCAGGTTAAAGAGTTCTTGGCTCTTCTTTTCTTTAAATCTTTTTTGTTTGGTTTGAGAGCGACTCAAAGGTTTTTCTCAAGGTTTGACAATATTTTTCTCCTCAACTTCATGTAGTTCTTCATTCTCCTTGTTTTCTTATCAGTAAATCATAAAAAAAACAGAGAAATGTGAAAAGACATAAAAGTGAACCCTTATATAACAGCGAAAGTAGACAATTGCTATTCAAAATGTTGATGATTTTGATGCATTTTTAAATGAACCCTTATATAACAGCGAAAGTAGACAATTGCTATTCAAAATGTTGATCATTTTGATGCATTTTTATAAGTTATACGTCCCTGAAACTTTCCATGAATGACGTACATTGATCTTGAAATTATTATTTTTTAAAATAGTATAGGCACAAATCCCATGTTTCTATAGGGAGAACTATTAAATATATTGATCAGCTACACAGTTATCTAACAAACTTTTGAACAAAATGTACCCAAGTTCACACAACCCAAATTCCGGAAATGTTGTGACGTTTTTTAAATTTGAATAAAACGAAAACTAAAACACTTTCAAATCACATGACCCAATATTTTGTTCACAATAGAACAAAGTAATATTTATTTCTATAGTACCTTTGAAGAACAAGTGTCACAAAGTGCTGTACAACAGAAATATAAAATGAAGAATAAAAAAAAAAAAATTCCACCGAGTCCACAGATCTCAGTTCCAAAGGAACAGCATTCCACAACTTGGGAGCAACTACTTCAAAGGCACAGTCTCCTCTTTTTTTTTTTAAAAAGAGGTGGACATTTGTAATTTTGTCATGTCTATTTTTATTCTTAATTTTATATTTCTATTGTAAAGCACTTTGTGACACTTGTTCTTGAGATCTGTTTGATGACTTGGTTAAAAGCTTAGCAGCAGCATTTTGAACCACTTGTAAACGTTTGAGGGATGAATTACTAAGACGAGTAAAAAGAGAGTTGCAATAATGAAGGCGGGAGGAAATAAATGCATGTATAATCATTTCCATCTCCGCTGTGGACACAACTGGCCTCAATTTTGCAATGTTTCTCAACTGATAAAAGCAGTTACAAACCAAATAATTCACATGTTGATCAAGACTGAAGGCTTGTCCCATATGAACATTGAGCAAGACTGAAGGCTTGTCCCATATGAACACCTAAATTACGAAGGGTAGATTTAACAGAATGTGATAAAGAACCAAGACTTTCCATCACTTTTGGGAGAACACCAACATGAGCTGAGATAAGTACTTCTGTTTTTTCAGGATTTAACCAAGTAATTATTTGCCATCCAGACTTTAATAGAGTTTATACAATTT